GCATGAAGGAGAGCTGAGCTGGATTCTCAGTCTTCCTTGTGAGCTGGAGTTTTCCCATGGTGGAGTGAATTGGAATAGATGCACAGAAGCACAAGGCCAGCAACTGAAGTAATTCTCACCTTCTCTGTGTTTGTGCTGAGCAGCTAGAGCAATGTTGCCTGTGTGATCTAACACCCTGAAAATCTGTTGCTGTGCTCCTTCTGCTTAGTTTGCGTTATGGCTTTATCAAACTGAAAGCCTTTTGAAGTCTGTTGGTCATTTTCTTTTCTTCATATTGTATGTTGTTTCTAAACGAATTAGCTTCTAAGCTAATCTGTCACAGATTTAATTATGGTACACAGTCATGAGGGAGTTGCTTTTTCCTGATACTGGGCAAGGAACTTTATTGAATAAGGAAAGCATTTGTGTATTTAATTCTAGTTTGGTCTGTGTTTCACTGTAAAGCTGCTCCAACCTTTTCTTGCTAAAAGATTAAAGAAAAAGGTATCTGGATAAAAAAGATACTTGTGTGCGTCTTCCTCGACCATAAGAGTATGGAGCACGCTGAAGTTGGCAGAAATGGGGTTTTCTGCACTTTACAGCAGAGGAATTATATTCAAGCATCTTGGATTTCTCCTTCACACTCTCCTCACCATCACCTTAAGTCAAGAAGAGAGACTCATAACTTTTTAACCTTACCTTCCTGTACTACTTCCCAAAGTCTTAGCACTTGGAAATGAGCCTCTTGATGTTGATACTCCTGCTCTGCTCACAGACATGTTGTACAGAGAGATTCATCTGTGCTCAGCAGCACTTTCTTGCTGCTATTTTGCTAACCCCTATTTTCTTTGCTTGATTCCAAGGCTGTTTTGTTATATTTTCTGTGATTAAAGGTTTTGGATTACTCCTTCCATCTCTTTGCTAACAGTGTACCTACAGCTACACTTCTATCCTCTGTAGCTTGCTCTGTAATATCCTTTAGGTAGGGACAATTTGGAATGCTAGTAAATATGACAGTATTTTCCTTCCTCTAGGCTCAGGGTTTGCCAGACCTTTGTGGGGCTGTTATCTGGATAATATTCTATGTAGGCATTAAGAGTAGGTGAGAGAGGCTTGGTCAGAGTTGTGCCACGTTTTTCCTCCGTCCTTTCTCTAGCTATGGGAAATGTTTTCTCTGCAAACATTAAATGATCCCTTGCCCTAGTTTAGTTTAGACTATTTGTGGAGTTGTGTTACTGATCTCTGAGGTGGTCAGCTACATCTTACTGTCTTGTTGGGAGGGGTGCTCAAGAGTTTAAAGCCAGGAATCAGTACTAGCTTTGCTTCTGGTAAACGTGATGGCAACTTTATGTACCTGAACGTCCAGGTGGAGGATTTCCAAGGGTGTTAAGCCACAAGCTTCCTTCCTCCTCCTCCTTCTCTCTCACTTGTGCTCTATTTTTTCCCATCTTAAAAAAAACAAAGTAGCATAAGTGGTCTGTGCCACAGGACTATGTTTGTCGCACTACATCACTTTGAACTGCATAACATCAAAGAAAATCAGTGCTTTGATAACTTGATTTGAAAGGATTGTAGAAATAGCCATCATTATAAATCACAACAGATGGAAATGGAAAAGATGGTGATTTTCAAATAGCAAAGCTTGTAAGGTAAGGGAAAATACAGAGTAGGTGCCAGTGCCACATTCTCATCTAAAATACCCCAACCTTACAACTGTTGTGTAGCTTTGCAGAATATGATTTACTTGAAGATATGAAGAGGAATAAAAAAATACTCTGTGTAAATATGTGTTTCTGAGGAACAAGGAAACAAATGTGGGCTCAGAGAGCTGGAATAAGGGAGAAATGCTGCTCCGGTAGGAGCTTCTTCCACTTTTTCCTCTTATAAAGCCACCCTTCCTGAAGGGAAGGGAATGGAATCCAAGGTTGCTTGCTGGGACCCTTTTCACTCTGGAGACCTTCAGTTCTTATGGGCTGGACACAGGGAGGAAGGAGAAAGCACACCCAGCACTTCTGTGCTTTGGCATTTCTCTCCTGAGTAAACTCCTTGAACTGGAGTGAGTTTCTGGCTCTAGGAGGTTGCAAGAAATTAGGCCTCAAAATCATCACTTCTCAATTGCAAATATTTTAGTTTAAGATGATGACTATTCAAATCGGAGTTTAGCTTATTCTTGCCTTCAGACTATGAGAATGGAGTTTGGGCCGTAAGACTGTCAACTACAAGTTATCACGCTAGCCTGTGCGGTGGACAGTGCACAGTAGCAGTCAGGTTAAATCAGTGCGTCCTGTCCCATCCTCATCTCAAGATGAGTAAGTGTTAGCTAGTGGGAAGTATTTATAAAGGTTTCAGTGGCATTAAGTTAGGACACTTCAGTCTCATTCAGACACAATTCAGCTACTAGCACTTCATCAACTGGTCCAAACACGTTGACCTAGAAAATACTGCATGTCATTTAGCAGTCTCCGTTTTATCCAATATGAGGAGGTGGCTGTATGTAATGAAAGCTGAAGCTGGAGCCAATTGAGGTATGAGGACGGATACTTCAGTGCTTTTTAGTGATAGGAAATTCAGAGACAACTACTGAGGATAAGATGCAGACCCTTCACTTCTTTTAGCATGAAGAATGTGCTGTACTGCGGTATTGCTAATAAGATCATCCTTTCTGGGGGCTTGTTCCCATTTAGCTTGGGAAAAGGGAATGCTCTCTTTCCTAGTTTTCTTCGTCGTGCTCCATGAGGAGAGGATTGGGCATACTTCTCTGTTTTCTTTACAAAGGGGCAAGACTTCCCCTCTTGCGCTTTTAGAAACATGGGCTCCATAGCAACAGTGTGAGTACCTTCTGGAAGCATCTTCCAGGGCCACTACTCAGGCAAATGTGATGTCAGACAAACAGGACTGGTATTTCATGTCTCATAAGCTGGTCAAAACTTTCACATTTATGTGTGCATGCATTTTAAATATTGAAGGAATAGTTCTATATTTACTACAGAGCACTGATGCTAAGCTTACTACCCAGTGTGCCTGACTTCATCCCTAACAGCATAGTGGAGAAGGACTGCATGGAAACTCTTTTAACTGGCTTGTCAAAAACCTGCTTTTTGAACAAAGGCAAGGAACAGGAAAGGAAATATTGGAAAATGCCTGTTTTGCACTGAGGGAAGTACAGAGTTGTTGACTCCTAAATTCTAATCCCAAGCTACAGTCGTGATATTTTTTTGCTAATATTTGCCATACAAAAATTGTATCTACAGTGATAATAGTTTACAGTCATGATGTTTGGGTTTTCTATTCAGTTATTGGCTGAGATCATATTTTTGCATGTATGTTACGCCACTTGTGGTAGATGTTTATACTTCCACTCTGATCTTATGAATGGTAAAAGAGGACACATTAATATAAGTGTCTCTTTCATCAACTGACTGGTTTAGATATTTTCCTTTTTCAAGAAACTGCATATCCTCACTTAAAAAGAGGAGAAAGAGAGACAGGACATGTCTCACACTGATTCACTTGAGAGTGAGTATTGCAGAGAGTCGGTGCCTCTGGAGTGTGGAAGAGGAGGAAGTGAACTAACTGTGCTGGTCAGGTTATTCTAATTATTTTGATTAGAGCAGAGGGGACACGGTAGCATCAGCTAGTGGGGAGAAGGAGGAGTTCAATTTATGCCTACAGTAGTTGAGCTGAAATCTCTCCTGAAATAAGGATAACTTCTCCTGGCAAAAAAATGATGCCTTTAGTGTGAGAAGTTATATAACTAAACAAATACAGTTAGATGAACAAAAGCAGTCAGTCAGTTAAATTCTGCATTAAAAGCTCTGTTTAAGCAATACTTCTGCCATAAAAGTGGTGCACCAGGTCTCTAGGTCTCTGCTGATCACTATTGCTAACCAGTTCCAGCAGAGACCTTCTGAGTGTACAGCATGTGCTGGAATGAGTCTCTAGTGCTAATTGTGTCTGTAGCTGTAAATGTCATACAGGGACACTAATATTTGAGGGAAAAGAGAAATGTCATCGTGTATGCTGTGTTAAAGAGGTGTTAATAACAACCACGGACATCTCATTGTATCTTACCTAAACACTTCTAGCCTTGCTTCCTGAGCAGGTTGTTTAATGTGACTGTGCTGTCTGTCTTCAACTGTTCACTCTAACCTGTTGGCTTATTTTAGTCACAGCTGAGAGAAAGACAGAGGTGTCAAATACATTGAGTTTCTGTGTGGTTGTGTGGTCAGGTGAAGAAGAGCTCTGCATTGTTCTTTCCAACTAAAGCAGCAGCTCTTGAATACATTGTTTTACTCCAGGGACTGCACCTAAGAGACTATGGGAAGAGGCCAGGGATCCAGCTGTGAAAAAAAGTATCAGGGAGACTTCAGACCTTGTAAGATAAAGGGTAACCCACTTGTAAGGAAAAAATAACCCCAAACCCTGGAGGAAACTGAGCTGTGTCACTAGTGCTAGTCAAGGGCTATTCATTCCCATGTGACTGCTGCTCAGAGTTATTATTCATGGCCTCACTCTGGTTTGCTTTGGCTATGCTAATTCTGTGGCCAAATCCTACCTGCCAAGTCAGCATCCTTTCTGGCTGTCAGCAGGAGCTGGCTTGTGCTCCTCCAGGCAGCCAGTGCTGGCCCATTCTGTTGTGGGGAAAATGGGAGATGTCTGGAGCAAGCACACAGTCATTCTGCAGTCTGGTGTTCTCTATATGAGCTTCAGGTCATGGTTTTCAGATGGCCATGGCTGTTACATGCCCAGTATCTCAAAGCCGGTCTTCTGCCTTTGTTTCTTGAGAAATGCTAAGTATCCTTTTACTGTTCTCTGAACCCTTTGCCATAGATGCCCAAGTTAGTGTAGGTTTTTTAGTATTTATATATTTATTATATTTATTCTTCTGTTTTTTAGGGAATGAGAAATGGCTCATTGGTAAAATAAATAAAATTTAGAAAGGGTCTCATAATTACTTATCTTGAGTGTATACTCTGGCATGGTGTACAAACCCAGACTTTTACCCCCTCTCTCTTCTCCAGGCTGTCAGCGCTCCATAGGCTTGTCCAATGGGAAAGCCAAGGTGTGCAGCTACAGTGGATGGTATTACTGCAGCACCTGCCATGTGGATGACACCTTCCTTATCCCAGCACGGCTCGTTCATAACTGGGACACTTCCAAATACAAGGTAATCTCCCTGCAGATTGGCTTGCTAGTGAGTGAACTGAATTACTCTTTAGATAGAAGCACAGACATTACAACAGATAGAAAGTTACAGGCCTTAACTGCTAACACTGTAATCTCTGTTCCTTTTACCAGAATGAGCCACCCTCAACAAGGCAGATGTTTTCATCAGTTTCCTTACCTGGGCCTAAAACATTCCTCCACAGGAGCAGCCATGCTTCTCTTTCTTGGTGGCATCTTTTCCATCATTGTTTATGTGGTTGTTCAAGAGACAGGCTCTTTTAGCCCTAATCTTTGTACTTCTTGGTCCTTTGAAGAGTACCTGTTTCTTGAGCACAAGGGACTATGAACTGGTACAAGGGACTACACATGGGCACTGCTTGGTGATAGATGCTGAACTGTGGAAATGCCTATGGGAAACTGGCATTCCTCAACACAGTGTTTGCATGGCCCATTATGTGTTCTGTCTCTTGGCATGAACGTTTCAAGTGCACTAGAGGGGCATTGCTATAGCACTTGCTTGGACCAGACAGACGAAAGCAACATGAGGAGAAAATCCTATAGCTGTTCACCTGCCACACAAGCAGCTCCTCTGAAACTTCTGGAATTTGCTATTTACTACTGCCTTGGTGGCTGGTTGCTAGATAGGGCCAACTGACTGCATGCCTCAAAGCATTACACCAGCAAACACAGTAGCAGTGTTGTTTTGCTGTCTCGGGGGGCATATGCTGGAACAATAACAGACTCATAACAAATCCAGACCATGCTAGAGCTTCAGACCTAGCAGCCACTGTTGGGAGAGGCTGTTTGATGTTTTGTGTCTGCGAATATTATTATTATGGGCTATTTGTAAAGGAAAAAAATAACCAGTAAATGCCCTATTAGAGGAAAAGCAGCTGTCTTGAAGAAGAAAATTTGTCAGAAAGGGAGATTATTAAAAGGTAGTCAGAGCCTGCCATCAGGAAAATTGTAGTCTTCCACTATAAAATGCAAGATTCTTCAGAATTACAAAGCTCTTATGTGTGGGGACAAAACTCCTTCCCTTTCCTAGAAGCTAGGAATAAAATATTTAAGCATTCTTCCTTTGGATGCTTCTACAAAGGACTAAACTTGCTAGCCCATGGTAGTATAGGTAGCCCTGATACAGAGCAAGTGGATGGTAAGGCAAACTCATATCAAGCTGTAATATTGCCAAGAAAATAAACTGTTTTTCTAAACCTGCAGGGTAAAAACTATGCTTTGTGCTCTGTCTCCTGTCGTCTTGGTGTAGGCAGCTGAGGCACAAAAGGAAATGGGACTTTCAAGTTTAAGCATTCACTGAAAACTTAATCTACTGTAATCTCACTGTAATGGTGAGAAGCTATCAATTTGCACCTTTTATAGACAGGCAGAACAGCTATGAGGTGGCTTGGGAGCGCAAGCAAATTCTGTGCAGATACTCTATCAGTCTCTGTGCCTAAGTGTCAGAGAGCTGGATTTAACAAAGGAACTCTGTCCCTAAGGTAGGAAAACACTACAGCATCCCCAGCTATATGAGCAGAGAACTAAGGCAGGGAGGGAAGGTGAAGAGGACGTCATGTACCACAGTGTCAGTGTGACAACTGAGCTGAGATCACTGGTTGGATCTCCTCAACTCCATCCCATCCATGTAAAATAGCAAGTTGTTCTCTTTATTTTTGTGAAATCTTTGGGGTTTTCCCCTTTCTGTTCAGTTCTGCATACATATGCTTTTATTTGTGTCCTTCCAATGCCTCCATGGAATGACAGAGTGCTATTCTGAGATAGAGCACATATTGCCTGTGGTTTTACATCTGCCTCTCCTTCCTCCATTCAGAGATAAGGCCTGATGTTTATTTCTTCTGTACGTTCTAAAAGGCAGCTTAGTGATGGCTGCTGCTTTTAAGTGTTACAATGAAACTGCGTGATTCCTGATTAGTGTATTAATTAAATGTGCTGATTCGGCAAAGACAGATGCACGTCCCACTTCCTTGAGGTGATCTAAGTACTAATCATTTTATTTGTGCTCACTTTTAAATGAAGATCACTTAATTTGTCAGCATTTCACCCCTCAATTGGCCAGTGTGCTGACACAAAGCTGTGCAGCAACACCCCAAGTGAAGCTAAACAACAGAGCTTCTCCTAAGTGCACAGCCCTACCCCTCACAGGTAGTGCAGCAATGCCTGAAAGTGGAGCTTCTGTGGTGGGTGATTTGCTTCTGGCTGGACTCATGGCATAGGCTAGATTGGTTCTGCAGGAAATAAGCACATAGCACCTTTGATGGGCAGAACTGAAATAGGGTTTCAGTCTTCAAAGGCTTGGTGCTTCGCATAGTCTGAAATGTGCCTGTCAGTCCCCCACATGGCAGCAAAGTGAATGAAGGGTCAGAAAACCTGCAGTCCATCCCACTGCCTTTGCAGAGGTTTCTGGGGTCTGTTCTATCTGTCTCCAGCAAAGCAAGCACCAATAGGTACACTAGGACATAAGCTTCTATAATGATACAGTAATTGGGCGTGTTTCTCTTTTATGTTTCATGGACTCCCAGACATCTGAGCAGCAGCAAATCTGTTGTATCAATTAAGTAGATTTTGGAAATTGAGAGGTTTTTGTCTGAGTTTGGCAAGACAGGTCATGAAAAAACAGAAGCAGTAGAACTCTGTAGAGCTGTGATTTCTTGTACCTGGGACTTAGCACCTGAAAGCATATGGGTAGGAGAAGAAAAATCCCCTTGACTGCAATAAAAGCTATGTGAAAGGACTTGGCAGTTAGGCATGTTTCTCCTGTCCTAACCAAAGTAGCAGTTTAGTCCCCAGGTTCACTTGTTTTCCTGTCTCCCTACTGTTCTCATATTTGTGTTTTACATGTGTTTGTGTGAGGGGAAAAGAAAAGAGGCTATCTTGTGAACATCCTTTTTCCTTTTACTCGGGCAAACTGTTTTCCCCGTTTGCACACAAAAAACAGTAGGGATTGCAGTTTGGTTCAGGTGGCTTCCAGCAAAATGCTGGACAAACACAGCAGGAAATGAACTCACTGTGCCAGAAGGCTTCCAGGGAGGCTGACTGCTGGTAAATTGAATTCCGAACTGTGAGTTTGCAGCCACTGGAGAAGAAAGGTCTGGAAATGTCAGCATCCATCCTTGTATGACATTTAAAGCTAAAACCTTGTTGCATTTTCCATCTTTTCACTCCTTCTGGCTTATGTAATGGGGGTATCTAGCCTGCCCAGTTAAACTCGGGGACTGTAAGTGTGCTTGTAGATGTACTAGAATATTGGCTGGTAGCAAGCTGAGTTATTGTGACTGCCTGACCCTTCCCATTATACGACTACATTTCAGCTTCTTGTAGCTTTGCTATGGTTGAGTATGTGAGTTAATGTTTTACATGACCTGTGTGCCTGTGTCAGGCATGCAGAGTGAACCGACACATAACCTGTCAGACAGTGATGCTGGGCAAAGTATCGTTTTAGGGCCTGGGGAACCTGCGGAGTTATGCTCTGCTGTATTTAAAATTGCACATTGTATTATCTGCGTAGTTACTGGTGGGAAGGTTGGCCTTGGCATTATTTCTTACCTTTGTATTATGCACTGTGAAAAGGTTACATTTAGGGCTGGCTTTCCCTGTAAGTAGCTAGTGACTCCTGTAGCTAGTAACTTGTGCTGGTTTTGGAAGTGGTGCAGTTTATAAGAATGTCTGTTGCTTTTCCCTACTTCCTACCTTACAGCACCAAAATGGAAATAACATCCTAAATCTCAAGAGTCTATGATGTGCCCTTTCTCCTTTTGTTAGCCTAATTCATCCCTCCCTCACTCAGTGTAAACACTGATTTAAAGGCCTGGGAGGGCTAATTGAATTGTGGAACAAATAGTATTTCCATAGCACAGTTTCAAGTGATTTGCAGCTCATTTCAGATAATCCCATCTTCTCTTTTCCAGCTGTGATAAAATACAGAAATAAGGAATGAGAGGGAATTTGGCCTGCTCACCTCAGAAACAGGAGTATCTTCTCCAGTGGGAATGAAAGTCCCATTAATTTATCAAGATTACAGTAGCTCTTTGCAGTTGGAGATAGAACAGAGCACTATCATGAAAAAGGCCTAAGAAAAAATTGCAGATGAAATGCTGGGAGTGAGTAATACCAGACATTATTTGTCTGTGTTCAAAAAAACCACAACTCGATAGGTATGCTTCCGATTATTTTCTTTCTACATCATTTTACCCCTGCTGGCTGAGTATGAAACAAATGGGAGCAGTACTTTACACTGGAGTTCTATACTCTGGACTAGTACAATGTGATTGGATTTGCAATGTGTAAGTTTCCTTTTCTAATGTGCTTTGGCACTTACCTCATCACTTTCTTCTTGTCAAAAAGAAAGCAGCAAACAAACAGGAAAATCTTAACAGGGAAGAGACTTGGTAATTAGTTTTTAGACTTAAAAAACTTCTGGTGAGCTATGTAACCCAGCAGTGGAAACATGTATGGCTGCAGATATTGCTGTGTATTGGGTAAGTAAGCAATTATCTCACACGCTCAACTTTGATGGGTTTCGTGAAGTTTGACTTGGCTATAAGCAGAGACAGTTGGATCTCTCTCAGCTCTGTCTTCATTTGTAATTGGTAACAAAGTAAGTTTTCAGATGCAGGGAATAGCTGACAGATCACAGAGGGGAGGATCTGCCTCAGAAGTCAGGAGGAAAGCCTAGCTGAACGGCTTTATTTTTCAGGTATCAAAGCAAGCCAAAGAGTTCCTGGAATATGTTTATGAGGAGCCATTGATCGATATCCAGCAGGAAAATCCCATGTTGTACAAGCACGCTGAACCTCTGGCAACTGTTGTCCGCCTGAGACAGCAGCTAAAATCTCTCCGAGCCTATTTGTTCAGCTGCAGAGCAGCAGTGGCTGAAGATCTGCGTAGAAGGTAAGAACCACAAGACAACGTACAGCAGAACGATGTCATTTCCTTGTCATGTTGCTTTTCTCCATTGTTGTTTTTTTTTTCCCTCACAATCTCATTCTGAAGGTGTTACCCACTGGGAAAGCTGTTGTGCTTGTATCTGACTTCCCTGAGCAGCTGGGTTACCTGTTGCCACAGAAGATGGTTTTGTAGGGTCTGAATATCTGAAGTTGTTCTTGGCAACTATTAGCCCAGGGGTCACACACTGTGGTATCTTTTACTCCTCCTCAGGCTTCCTGGCTGTGGGTGACTATTTCCAGTCAAGTATGATACCTCATGCTCCCTGCCATGGCATCAGAGTGCCAGCTTGGGGAGGCACTGTTGGGACCTTTGAAACACCTCAGAGTATGGCAAAGCATGGGAGAGCCCAGTCAACTACCTGTCCAACATTTCTGCTCTCTTCTGTGATATGATCTGACATGAAGGCAGAGGCCAGATGTAGGCCCCTGACATGTGACGCAGCATATGATTTATGTGACACCAGAGCAGTTGTGCTCTTGCTCAGCCACTGTCTTTTCCATCCATAACATGGCTGTGCTGAGTGTTTTGTTTACTGGAAAACACGTCACAGCACAGCAGAAGGTGTTTTATATTGAGTTTTCTGTGGTGGAAACAGTAGTTCTATAAAACATGATTTTGGAAGTGCTGTGTCTTAGTCCGTTCAGCTGCTGCTTCATTTTTTCTAACAAGATGAAAATTAACAATCTTCTGAAAACTATCAAGCCACAGTTGTGATCATGAAAAAAAACAAACTACTTTTGTTGTGGATCATCTGAAAGAGATGGGGAGATGTCTTTGCCCATGCAGTATTGTGAGGCAAGTGGCACCAGGTACAGGCAGCTGATCTAATGGTAAATGCATCTATAAGCATTTGTATACTCCAAGTTTGTAGGTAAGACAAGACTGCAAATAGGAAAGCCACTGCTTTGAAATTGTGAGCCATGAAAAGGCAAGGAAGCAGATGCCATCAGTGAGTGTATTTTGAGCATGGTGTCTTAGGGATGGGGAGCCTGAATTCTCTGTGAGGGAGAGGAGGATGCACTAGTGCCTTTATCCCAGGTAAGGAGTGAGGCGTTCTGCTATTTGGTGCATAACCTATGACATTGCTTTGATGAACTACCTAGAACAACTAAGGGAAGGATATAACAGCAAGTTTCTGGAAAGCACTGCTGAGTTCTTGTGCGAGACTCGCTGTGTGCTAATATGTGTTTGTGTCTTACTGTTTAATTCCTGTTACTTGATAGGGCAGCTTACAGCATTTAAAAAATAAGGATAGTTTTTCTTTTATTACAGAGGTTGGCATTATCTTCTAGAGCTCTTTTGCTGTTCAACTATGGTAACTTTCCTATGCCATCCTCTTCAACTGCAATAGAAGTAAAAGGAGACTGAGATTTGTGAAGACTGGCATTCAAAAACAAAACAAAACAAAACAAAAAAGGCAGAAAAGAAATTATTCTTTCTGATTAATGCTGAAGAAAAGAATCCCCTGATTAAAATAGACAGGAGGAGGCAGAAGACTAAATAGACTTGGGTAAGAGTGAAAGAAGAGAGATCAAAAAGGCCTCAGAAGAGAAATCAATGGATTAGAGACAAAGAGATGAGGGAAAGCCAGGAGAAGGATAGTCAAAGAGGGAAGGGATCTCAGGAAATTAAGGGTTAATGAAGAAACCAGGACAAAGGGGGAGCTCCAAAACCTACCTCCCAGAAGGAGAGATGTGTTGAGGAAATGGAGAGAAGAGAGAACGAATAAAAATTAGTACAGAAATGTGTGCGTAATGTTTTCTCGAGTGGGGAGGAGAGAGAAAAAACCTCCTTGTATCAAAATGAAACATCCAGAATGGCAGAAAGGGAAACTGGGAAATACTTAGAATGCTCCCTTTTCTTATCTAAGTGTTCTTTCACACCGTCTCCAATTAAAACTCTGTGGTGGAGAGGAGGACAGAACCCAAGAAGTGTTTGGTTTTGTACTAGGGAAGCATCTCCAGTTTGGTAGGACTTGTTAGAAGTGCTGTAAAAGCCACTGGAGTGTATAAAACACATCTTAGATTTCAGCTCCACCTTGGTCTGTTGGGCTGGGTTTGCTGCTTAGCTAGTTCCTCAGATCTCCCTTTAGAGGACTGCAGAGATGAAAAGTAAGAGACGTTTTCCCAGAAGGAGCTATTCCTTGCCCAGAACAGTCCCAATGGCTTTGCTTTCTGCATCTGGTATCCCAGTGTGCAGACATTCACTATCAATGTGATGGCTTTATAGAGCCCAGCTGAAAAGTAAATAAAGAAAATAGGTGATTTAAATTTCCCTTTGGCTTGTCACATGGGCAAGTTGCAAGAAAAGGAGGAGTTTAAACAATGTGGTGAGACAACACTCCTAAATTTAGTACCTAGTTAGAAATGGAAGACTGGGGAAGAGAATCCAGTTATCTGTCCAGCTCTAAAAACATTCTTTTTCTGCTTGGTCTTCACCTTAGCATGTGAATGACTATTAATCACAAGAAAGTGAACACAGCATGTTGAAGACCTGTCAGACCCATATAAACAGACTGAAACAAACTGTTAATATTGTTGTCTAGGGAGAACTAAAAACAGACTGATTAATTATATTGGCACCTTGCTGCCTTTGGGACACTGATAGAGCCTGCCTTATTAGGGAAAAGCAGATCACTCTAAGGTTTCTTTTATTAATACTATTTGCATTATCATCTTCTTTAAATCTATACCTTGCTCTTGAACCCAGATCACAAAATGAAGATGGCAATGAAGTTAAAAACTCTCAGTGTCCTCTGGGAAGACAAAACTGTTTACAGTGCTTACAAGTCACTTTTTTCTGAAGAATTCCAGATGGCTATAAATTAGGTTAGCTCAGGATCCAGTTGGCTTGAATGTGGAAATGTTATTTATAATGCTTGGTGTGCACAGATAGGTACTTTGGGAACTTTGAAACTTGGCATCTACTAGAGAACTCAGGGCTGAAGCATGTTGTGAACTTTGAAAAAGCAAGTGACTATACAGAAAGAAAGGAAGGAAAAAAAAGCAGAAGAAATCCTAAAAGTAGCTAGAAGGCTCACAATAAAAATGGTGGCCTTAAGTTATAATGATTTATTCTCACCTATTGTTTCACCAGATTCTAAGCTCTTTTTATGTTTGAAAGGGAAAAAAATAAGGAACTCGAACTTGGCTGGGAGGAGGAATAAGGCCCTCCACCAGTTGCATATCAGCAGTATTCCTCTGAGATTAGCCAGCTGAGACTGAGCCTGTTGCTGTGCTCCCTGTTTTACAAGGGATGTTGTTATGCCTAGTTTGCTGTGGCTGTCACTTCAGTATTGCAACAGACATAATTTGCCTCAAATGTCTTTACTCAACAAGTTCTTGCTTGTTTTGGTTGCCTTGCTTGTGTGGATGCTGTTCAGGCAGAAACTGCAAGACTGAAACCTTATGCCAACACAGAAATTAGTACAAGTAGAGTTGTACGGATCCCACCCCATCACCTGCAGATTGTGGGATGATGAATGAACGGCACTGGCAAACAAGATAGAGTCAATAAATTTGATAGCTAAGAAAAAGCAAGAATTAATTAAGTCCATTAAATAATGAGGTAGGTTATTCTGTGAAGCTATGCTGAATGATGCAAGTTTTATTCTGGTTTTCCTTTCTTCCTTTTATCTCTAGACATAAGACAGACTAATAGCATGTCCTTGTGCCACAGCCTCTTTTCCTCTGTTCTTGTCATGGTTGAAGGCTCTTCAGGTCAGAAGGATTTTTGGGGGGAAGTCTTCAGGCACCCCCACATCTGCAGGGTGGGCTAACCTCAAGCTTCTCTGGGCACTCTGCTCTCTCAGCTGTACACCTCAACTTGCAGTTCAGGCATTGCTAGCCCAGGTATTTTAGACAGATGGCAGTGACACAAGGTAAATGTTCTGCAATACATTCCCGTATACATTAGTGCTCATTGCAGCCTTCTGAATGGTAGTGAGAAACCGTATGGGAAAATTTCCCTCTTGTTACTACTCATCTCTGTCTAATACCATTTGTCTGTCAGCTCCAGAACAGCAATACATCAGTTTCACCCTAGCAAAACTCCCGTGCTGGTTACATTACTTCGCATCTTACAGGACAAGCACATTTGAGCTTGCTGTTGCAGCTGGAGGTTAAAGGTGCACCTCCAGTGCTGCAGACCTGTGTTCCTGACTGAGCCTGCCGGTCTGTCAGCATGATGCGAAACAAGCCCGAATTCAGTTATGCTGAACAATAGAGTCCTGTCAGTTCCTACAGTGAGGCCTTAGACATATCACTTCTGACACAGGGGTAGATTACTTTCAAAATATTTGTGTGGCAATTGGGGAACCTGTCTAAACACGTCACAGGAATCCTGATTGATCTTATGCAATCACTATACCACCAAATACCTCACGTATGTGAAGCTGGAGCTATGTCATCTTTCAGGCTAAGGACAACAGAAGGTCATTAAGTCATGTCCCAACTGTCAAAGGAAACTTCTCCATTTTCTTTGCAACGGGTAGGCCATTTGGAAACTGGAAAATGGCAGAGCAGGAGAACAAAGACGCATCTTGTGAAAGCAGTGGACTGCAAAAAGAAAGTTTGAGCAGGAAAGGAGCAGAAAGATTTGGTTTAGCACTTAGGGCTCTGAGTTAATGGCAAAACCAACAGAAGAAGAAAATTTGTTGCATGGGTGATTGGAAAGAGGGCAAAAGAGAAACTCATTCAAAGAGGGTATCTGGGTATCCTGAGAGTATCCAATGTTAAGACCAAACAATACCCCAAAGTGAGAAAAGAGGAGAAAATAAATGCAGAGATGTGTGCGTGAACGATTTGTTGTTTTATATAGATCCTGCAGGTGTGTTCTCATTGCAGTACCTGAAATAAAGCATGCCTGTTAATGGAGCTCTTACATACAGACCACATCTTCGCTTCGCTTGTTGTGTCTTCTTGAAGCAGTATGTGGGCTCCTTGCAGGCTAACATTTTAAAAAGCAGGAAGCAGATGGCTAAAACTGTGGAGGTTAAGGTTAGGTTGGACTTTGAGCTTTTGTTTGAACTAGGGGTAACAAACAGAGCTGGAGCAAGAAGACATGTGCCAGAGCAGCCAGGGTAGGGGCAATACGCCTAAAGGAAGGTTAAAAGCACAAGCCAGTGCTCTACCATGGTAGGCAATCAGATGAAGAGCATGCCAACAGTATACATAAGTTTTCCAGAGGACTGGATCTTGTAGTTCTGTCTAAGAGCACACCTGCACCTCTTTGTCAAATAGATCAGTAATATCTGTCAGAATGGTAACTTCTATTCACTTTTTGCGACTACATTTAAAAAAGAAGTTCCAGTTAGATGTGGACGCCATATTGTGCTGGTTTTATCCCTGTGTTTTTATATCAGAAATTCCAGCAGCAAAATGCAAGTGTTCAGAAGTGCCTGACAAAAAACAAAAAAACGTTTTCTTATTCTTCAGTGCAAGTTAACTGGGGATCTAAGCTATTTTGATTTCAAACTGAAACTCTATGCCTCTCATTCTCTGCATCCTTTTAGTAACAGTGGTACTTGATTCCAAACTGGAGTTTGATCTGTAATAGTTCTTGTCTTCCGCAGTGTGACTGTAACCTTGCTCAAGTAACCACAGAGGAGGGAGTTAGCATACTGCATTTTATAGTTGAAAGTTTATATACTGGTTCAGGATTGCTGATGGATGATAAGGGTAACTGTTTTAAGATAGAGATGCTCATGGGGAATTTCATAACAGCATGGAACAGTACCTCCCCTGGACATGCTTGCTAATAAATCTAACACTAGTCCACAGCGTGGACTGTGGATACATAGGAATGTCTGCTCCCAGAATTAGAAGAGTTTTCACACCTCATGAATGTGAAATGATTCACAAATGCTATTTTGGAATTACAAAAAAACATCGATCTAGTATAATACCACAAGAATTAAATAACCAGTGTTTTGTTTCATTTATTTATTCTTACTTTTTGATTTTCAAATCACTGGGTTTCCCAGGGACCCACTTCTCTGTTTTTGTTTTTTTTTTTTTTGCTGGGAACTTAGGGTCCTCCTCTCCCACCACCCTTTTGGGAGCTGAGATTTCCAAGGAAATGCAAAATCAAAAGCTGGAAAAAAATCCTTCTTTTCCCCATCACCTCCAGTGCTGTTCTCTGTCTTAAATTAACAGACTCCATGTCAAATGATTTCAAGGGATAAATCCAGCAGTAGGTGTTATTTACTGTGCCATGTACCTTTGGGATAACTCATATATTTGGGATAACTGGCAATTCACTGATATCCCTCTATAGTTTTTAAATCATACAGTAACCCTGAAAAATGTGAGCTCCTCTCAGTGCGGTTGGAGCTCACACAGCTGCAGCTGTGGGTAATGCATACTGCTAGGACTTCAGAGGTCCTCTTGCCCCTTGTCTAGGGGATAAAAATAATATGGGAGCAGTGGTAATCATCATGTGCTTGCTTGTCAGCTGCTTTAGTCTGCAGCATGGTGCACTGGCTTAAAAGCAAATTGGTGGTGGTGCAAGTTGCAGTGCCAGGGTATGACCCATGCTGGCTGAGGAGGTGGACTTGGTACCCGGGGTGCTGTGCCAGCTGTGGGTGTAGCAGCTTCCTGCAGAAGAGGGGTGGAGAGGCTGCCCGAGTGTGGCTGCGTGCTAGACTGGTGCATCTGCCTCTCCGGTGAGTCACAGCTCAGTCATACAGTTCTCAACCTGGTCAAACAAGACACTCCTGGCTGGCACATGAAATCCTGGTGTCAGCTTCCCCTCTCCTCCCCCCTTCCTGTCCTAGGTTTCAACAGGTTTTTTGGTACAAAAGGGATGTGGTTGTGCCCACCTGCCAGCTAACTTGATTTCTTTTGATTGCACTGTAGAAAGAAGAGTTAGCTCTGCTTATCACGTTTGTACTTCGGTTATAGTGTCAGGCTTGGGCAGATTAATTGGTTGTAGCTTTAGCAGAGCTGTCAGGGTATTTAACCCATTGAAGAAAAATTACCTAAGCTGATGATAAACAGGCTTTAAATGCAGAGCAATTACTTAGTGCTAACAAAGCACCATGACTACATACTTTGTCCAGATGCAAAAAAGCAAAGTCTTATCAGTGGTTCTGTTTGCAGGAGGACACTAACAGATAACCTTTATTTGTGCAAATACTTACCTGACAAGATCATCCAAAAGGGAAGAGATGAAATTTCTGGTTCTGTCTTGCCTGAAGGTTATGCTTCAGATGACAAAGTATCAAACAAAAAGAATAATAATCACAAAATAAAAATGCCCAATTCTCTCTTTTAGTTGATCTGAAAGTCTCCTACAGTGGGTTTCTGTCCTGCTTGTGTCGATTCCTTTGATTTCTAGCACATAACAATAAAGCAGTTTAGAGAACTTTAACCAGTAGGACTTTGGATTTCATTGTTAACAGGAACTGGCAAACCTAGAGGGCTGGTTAGCATTGAACTTGGTTTGTTCATTGCAGGCTTAACCCTGATTGGTGGCCAGGGTTTACAACACAGCAATCTTGTGACTCACAACCGTTCTGTTTTGCATTGATGGTGAAACTGGTCCGGGAGTTTCCAAACTGTGAAAGCTTACGAGGTGCTTTTAGTGGGATGTGCACTTGATACCATTTGCCTCTCAAGGGTCACAGGTCACATTCTGAAGCAGCAGAGGTTTAAGTTTTTATTGTGATGAGTCTTAGCATATTGTGCTTGACCTCTGTCTAGCTCACTCCATTTATTTCTGCGTTAAGATTTGACTGAAAGGACACTGTTTATTGAAGGCTTTCAGTTGACCAACTTCTGAAAAACTCCAGTTAGTTATAGCACATCGATCAAAAGATTTACAAAACTGGCAGGTTTTATTTTCCTTTTGAATAATTTACCAGAGATTTCCCATTTGGGGTTTGTAAAGGACCTTTATGTCAGAGGAAAAATAGCATGCAAGCACATGCTTTGGTGGTTTTGGTTCAAGGCCTTATATTAACACAAGAATGCTCAAAGCTACATCTCATGCAGAAAGCAAATACTTACTTTCTAGTGAAATGTTGCTAAGTGCATTTGTCTTGGCCTACTCTGTGGTCTCTGACAGATTTTTAGACATGAATGTGATTTTAGGTTGATTTGGATGCCATGTAGTGCTTTGTCTGGATGCTAATGCAACAGCATGGTGTTTGTGTGAGCCCCATCTTGCCTGCTGTACTTTACTGACTTTGGATTCCTTCAACCAGTTTCAGTTGCAATTGACAGAGGGATGGAGGTGGTAGAAACATGTTCCTACTGGTACGTGAGGGGAAGTGTCTGGGTCAAAAAACAAGAGGCTCTGAATTATTCTTATGTGCCCCCTCCTGAAAAAGATTTTGTATAAGCCATCACCTCGTTAGTCTCGGAGAACGTCTGTGAACAAGCAAGCCTTTGGACATCACTCATTTTCTTGCTCACTGGACTACTTGTTCTGTGTGGATTTCCTGTCCCAACTGACTTGCTTGCATTTTATGATGAGTTCTTTTGAAAATGCCTCTTGAGTTGATATTCTGGTTTCTCTTATTTTCTTGTTCCTCACCCACTAAAGGCTGACCAAACTGTCAATAAGCATTCATTTCTGGGAGGTTTCTTCACAAGTGACGTTCAGGTAGCTGTTGAGTTTCCAAATGGGACTAACAGAAGTTTTCTTGGAAGAGATCTTAATTGCAGATGTGCAGCACAAGTGGTTGTGGTTTTGAAATAGCTGCTCAGCTCACCACAGGTGTGGTGACCACACATAATTTGTATGTTAAATGACAGGGACTGAGCTGCCTACTTCTAGGCGATTTCAGTGTTTTCCCAATCCTGAAGCTGTCTACTCTTCACCTTTGGAGATGTGGGCACCGTATAGGATTGGACCATATAGAAGCTGGTCCAGTGGCTTCATAACACATTTTATGAACGCTGTTGTACATGCAAGCTCTGGCTGCTCAGCTGTTTTTCTGTGTCCCACCACAACCAAATTGGGATTTTGTGAGTCAATAGGACTACAAATCTGAAGCTGGACCAGCCTTACTTACTGAGGGGTTCTTAATGCCTCAGTTTGCATAGCGATTTCCATTGCACTCCTTTCAAATGAGTGCTGGATATATGCATGTATAGATGTGTCTTGCATAAGACTGGGAGGGCAGTGCCTACTTCTTTTCCTGGAAATAGATTTGGGAGGAATGTTGGATGCTGGTGCTGCAGAGCTGCTGCTGCAGACTACTCTATCTCGGGGAGGGGGACAGGTACAGGGAGAGGATGACTGTCACCAGGGCCCGTGCTAGCTGAGACCCCCCTGACAAAGGAAGTCCCTTGATCATGAGTTTGCTTTTCATCTGCACACTTTTTATTAGGGGTTAGAACTTGCAGGAAATAAAATGCAGTCCTTGAAGGCGGCAGGGAAACGTGATGTTAGTCATCTATATCGGTCGTTGACAGTTTCTGCCTTATGGGCTATTCAGGCTATTTCCTGAAAAAGGAAATCTTTCATTAGCTAATTATTTTCTTTAGCAGTGCTGTAAGGGCATCAGCAAATAATAGTTCCTGGCAAAGCTACCGCACCATTTAGTGTCTGCTTGTGTGATCAGAGGAGAATGATGGGGAATTTTTAATGACAAATTCTGTCAGAGCTGAAAAATACTAATAGCTTCAAAATGCTGTTCAGAGTTGACTCCTTAGCAATCAATTTTAATAAATCTCCTAAGTGCAAGTGAGAAACCCAGATGTCATATGTTATCTGATATCTAGATTGTGACTGTTTTCTAGTGGTCTTTGACACCGTGCCAAACGTATTATGAAGGTGTGATGCAGCAGAGCCACTGAAGCACATTCACCTGTGATAGGAGCGATTGTATAGCCTGCAGAACTAAAAAGGGAAAATGCAGTATCCCAGTGAGAGTGCAGCTGAGAATTAGGTGGGTAGAGCAGACATGCTTGCAGAGTCAGAAGGAGCAAGGGCACAGTCCTGCTCCAGAGGAGTGCCATAAGATTGGTGGCTCCCAGTTGTCAGTGCCTTGCTTGCAGGACTCTTCCCCTCCCACCCCAATAAAGCTTAGATTATTATTAAAAGTACGAAAGGAGTATGAGACTTTGTACCACTCACCTTGGCAGCAGTGAAAAGTCCTAGTCCCTCTAAGACAGCTTTGAAAGCAGCAGTTTAAGGTAGTTAAGACAACGAAGAATAGAATGAACTGAGATGCTTCCATTATTTCTTAGATTCAGTGTTCTGTCAAAGGTCACAGTTGGTACTGTTATCCCTGTTGATCTGTGTTTTAGCTAATTATGTTGTCACAGCTTCTAAAATGTCTTTTTTGAGTTCCTGTGTACTTTCTCAGTAGGCTCATGGCATTGTCATATAGGCCTTTCAAGAACCTGTTTTTTTGGACATGTCCAGTGGTCTTTCTGTTCACTGCCATTCAGTTCTGCCATTACAAACTAGTCTTTGCCAGAGCTTTGTTCATGCATTTAATAATACCAAGAATTTTGTTTTCTATATTGCTTTAAAACCACATGGTTGTAACACAGGAACTGAGTTCTCAGTTTATTCTCTGAGCAGCATGTAGTGTAAAGTAGTTGCACCTCTTGAGATACTTGGTTTCTTTTCTGCAAGAGTGGTGTGATTCTCTGCTCCTGTGTTACCTGTGTTACATTTGTTCTGACTGGAAAATAAAGCTTTTCGGTTGGTACTGTGTGCACACAAAGGTAGACATTTTAGCTAGATGCAGTCTTCCTGACATCTTTATGGCAGATCCATAGGTTTTCATAAACTTATCTTGCTAATACCCACTTACTTTTACAAGGTCCATTTTTCTCTGTAATGTTGCTTTAACCTGGTTTTTCATCTTACTGCAAGTCACTTTAATTAGGAAGTCTCCTCTCTGTTCAGGTTTCTGTAATTTAGCTTTACTGAACAGGTCTGTCAATTGATAATCAATGGTCTTGCCTGAGACCTTGGTTTATATAAGGAAAATACGCCTTTCTCAAGTAAGTCATTATAAAGTCTCTACCAATATATTTATTTCTGTATGCAAGAAGGAATTTATACCAATCAACTTGATGGTGGAAGAACAGTATCTGCATGGCATTTTTCCCAATATAATTATTTCAGTTACAAAACCATAAATCACAGCTTTCTAGGAGACCAGCAATCTTGTACTAAAGCCCGTAAGAAATACTACAGGTATGTAGTTTGGGTTATTTAGTTTTGTTACTGGGTTAAGTGTAACGCATTTGTGCTCAGGCTGGGCTTTCTGTGGCTGTAAATGTCGTGGTACACGCATACCTGACAGTTGGAGAATGACACTGGTACAGCATTCATTCTTGTTGTGGAATTGCTGTGCCCATGAGGAATGCTGTAAAAGTCGCTGGTGTTTACAGGATGACATAATTCCAGTTTTTGACAAGCTTTGTCTCTCTAGCATTATTGTTCTGCAGTCTTTTGGTGAGGAGAGGAAATCTTTTGAGTTCCATGGACAAAAAGGTGTGACACATCCATTTTTCTCTTTTCCAGGATTTTTCCCAGAGAGTATCTTCTCCAGCAAATCCATCTTTATTCTCTCGCAGACCTTCAGCAGGTAAGTTTCTTCAACTAGTTCTACCTTTTACACATCAAACCTGTTCTCATCTTTCTACCTGTTACACATCAAACCTGTTCTCATCTTGGGTGCCAATTGTACATTCCCCCTTCTAGCTAATCGTAGCATAAATAGCTTTACTTCCAAGCCATCTCTGTGGTTAATAGTTTAAGATAAAATGAGTTAGTGAGGCATTGGTTAGGGATGAGAAGCGAAAGCTTAGAGGGTCAGTGTTGAAATGGGGTTGGAAAGAGGCTGTGAAAGAAAACTGTAAAGGGAACTTTGCTGTGAGGTTTTTCATCTGATCAGTGAAGGCCCATCTAACGTTCAGCCTATGGGTAACAAGTACAGTTTTATTTCTTTGTTTGAAAGAATAGTTGTTCAGGGATGGATGAGTTTGTACAGTCCCTAGCACAACATGCTTATTTACAAAGTCTGCTAGGCATTACCATGACAGAGAAAAAAAAAATAAATAAAAAAAACCCAAACCACAAAAACCTCAGCAAGGCTGCTGCTACACAGAGGTAAGCCATGCCGTGTTACTGTGACAGATGTGGCCACAAAAGAGGTAACGTGCCAGCAAAATGTGTCTTTGCATTGATATTGATTGAACTAAGTGGACACCTTTGCAGTACATCGGCCTAAAGAGCAGAATTTCATGACCTTCCAGATTAAAGAAGAAGAATTTGGCAAAAAAAAAAAGCTGACAAAAGAGGGTAGGGAATCTAGGGTGAATGTGCTGCAGTGCTCAGATGCACAATGGGGAAAAGCGATGAGGCAAGATGCGATAGCTGACCTGAGCACATCTGTGTTCACACTCTAATGCCATTGCCGGTGATATGTAAACACGTTATTTAAAGCTTCTTCCACTGATATTTCCCTTGTTTAGTGGTGCCTTTTCTGCAGGATAATGGATAGCACAGTCAGTTCTGGATGGTCAGGTGACTCATTTAAGTTGAGGTAGTTGAGATGTCCCTCGGAGCTGGAGACTGCAGAACTGCAGGAAACGTGGCTTTTGTTGGCTGGTGAAGTCGCAGGGTAGAAATGATTCTATACATAAAATAAAAGGGCAGTCATCTGAGCTCTAAAACTGTTTCCACATCTTTGCAGCATGTTCTGCTATCTCATCTTTAGTAATCAAGCCATGAAAAAGCAAGCTACTTAACTCCAGAGCTGCAGTCCCCCTGGTGGGTCTATCTATTAGCCCCCAGTGCTTTGTAAGCTGCTTAATCAGTTCCTAACACTGGTAGTAGATATTTTAGAAGCAATCAGCAGCTTATCAAGCACCCTTTGGGAAGGAGGGAGGGTAGAAGTCACAATTCATCCATTGATTTAGCAGTTCCCTTTAGCATGTTTCTTTGTGTTTCTGTTTGCAAGACACCTTCTTCTTCCCCTGAGGGCTCCCAGCCCCAAACTTATCATATTTAGAGGCAATATAATTTGATTACCATTTCTGCTGGGGTGAGTTAAATTGCATTTACCTTTTAATCTAGCTATATCCTTGTCAGCCTGGAGAGGGTTTTCCGCATTTCAGAGGCTCCAAGTTTGAAATTCGATTGCCTGTTTGTCAAAGTGGAACTAGAGTGGAAAAAGGAGGAAGGCTCCAGTGAGAAAATTAATCCAACAGCCGGAGGAACACTAATACCCTTACAGCCCCTGACTCCTCCCTGGTTTGCCCCTTACAACTGCTTTCTCCCAGTTGCTCATCATTTTCTACTGACCTGCAGTTTGGGTGTTTTTTTTAAATCCTAAAAGTTTCCCCTCCTTTTGATTCCTCTGCTGCCTATTTTCTCATATCCATGGACTGCTTTCGCGCTGTATCCTGCTGTCATGTAGATTGCATGTGTTTGGGGAATTAACTAAAAGGTTTATTAAAGATTAATGGAAAGATAAGGCATGGTGAGTAAATTAGAAAAGCAGAGAGGGGTAATCTGCAGATGTAAGCAACCTTTACCCTGGTTAGTCGCAGCTCAGTTCTGATTTGTTTCCTAGCCAAATTCTCTGTGGAGATCCTAGAAAACATGGGTCATTTCTTCCCAAGCAGCTGAGATTCAAAAATGTAGTATGAGGGTCTGTTCTTAGGTGCAAAAAAAAAGTTGGAATGTCTTTTTTGCCAGTAGCTGAGGCAGCAGATAATACTATTCCAAAATTAAACTTAATCTAAACCTCTTTCCAAGCTTAACAGAGCTTCATGCCTACACCCTGTTGATACGGCAGGTATATATACTTGAGCTATCTGATGGTCTGGGGATGGTTGTCACTTGAATCCATTTAGACGGGGCTCTGCTGGGGGAGACATTAACTATGAGGTTAAAAGCAGAGTGGAAAAAAATGAAACAAATTTAATTAAATGTATAACTTTGGGAACTCACCAAATCCTGGTGAGGCAGTGGTTTTGCCAGCACTTTACTCAGTAACAAATGCCTGTAGTGCAGACGTGAGTAAGTTTGACCTTTAACTAAAGGGACAGTGAGTGAAGGTCTTTATTTGCATGTACATGTTTATTTAAAGTGAACAAAAAGGACATGCATGTACCCCAGCAAGGTCTCACTGCAGACCAGGGCCCCATGGACTGCATTAAAGTTTACAGCAAGTCTATCTATGGGCATTCCCATGGGGTACATATTCTTAGAATCCCCTTGTAGTCGTTGTTGTGGGAGGTGTTAACAGATGAGATAATGAATTAGGTGCATTCAGATGTAACAAGCAGAATCTCAAAGTGTGACAGCTTGCCTATTCTGCCCCATTGGCTACGCTTGCTTTCCTTTCCAACCCTCCCTGGCGTCATCTGCCCAGAGAGAAATCTGCCCTCCGTCACCTATAACACCACTGCATCTCTGTTAGCCAGTTTTTGAGGGCTGTTCCAATCAATTAAAGCTCTAAAGAGGAAGACTTCCAGTTGTTAGGAAGCAGGTATTCACTCCTGAAATTGCTGGGTTTATAGGCACAGTATAGGGCAGCTTCACCCAAAAACTACTAGAGGTAGTTCTCTGTTCTCTGCTGACATGACTAATGGACATGTATCACTGTTTTTGTGTATGTGTGGACACAGTTCATGCAGGCTGGTGTTCAAAACTATCTATTCATTTTGTGTAACTGTGGGGCTGCTTTTGTTGAAACTTAACATTGATTTGGACAGAAGCTGACTCAGACAAGACTTTACATTTCTTAGGAACAATAAGTCTTGCTACTTCTACTAGATTGCACATAAATGGGAGCTGTTAAAGTGAAAGACTTGAAATAGCTGTTGTTCAAAATTCAGGTGCTTAATCCACACAGGTAACTAATATCTTGCTTGCTTTTATGTTAAATAGCAAGACATACGGGTGTACAAAGTTTATTGCAGTGATGGTTTTTACTGCAGAAACACTCTTAATCATGGCAGTTATTTCATCCTGGTTGTACTGGCCCCTGAAGGTATGGTAAAATAAAAAGAATCCATGTCATGTCAAAAATGACAATGTCAAGGATGGAAATCATGACCAAGACAGGAGATTTAAGAAGACAATTATTTGAAGATTTGTTTACATGGCAACACTAAAGGAAGAAAAATGAAGTGATGACAAAATATTGGGATTTAAAATGATGAATTCAGTTACACTGAATCACTGTGTAAATACTGTTATTGAAAATATAAGTGGCTTTCATTTGGTTTATCTCCATTTACTTTGGAAGCAAAGTGAGCTGAATTATATTAAGAGTATTTTTATTCTGAATGTGCCTGTCCATACAGGGATTTAATGTGGTATAATTTATCCATTTTAGCACTGTAGATAAACTAATCTGCTAACATTTAATTAAAACATCCATTTACTTCAGATCAACTTCCCTGACTATGTACCTGTTGGTGGACCTACAAACAATGTGAAGAACAATGGAGATAAAGGCTGAACAGGAGAGCCCTATTCTCACAGTAATACAGGACAAGTGATACAGTGAATATGAGATATGCATAAAAATCCTTAATAGAAATGCGTCTTTGCAGAGCACACAGTGAGCAGGAGGAACTTAATGTCACAGTAATATTACTGAGGCCACAAGTTTATAATCTTTGAGAGGATTAAGTATCCATAATGAGAGTGTCCACAGTTACAGTACGTCAGATAAAAAGATTATGAGGGTTCAGAATAGACATATTATTTACTGAGGGGATTAGGAAGATGACTTCCCTATTGACAGATGGATCAATGATTTCATCTTCCTCTGACGTAAATAGTACTGATTACAGCATCCGATAGCGTTTTGGACTACGTGAACAGTTGATCTGACAGAAGCATTGCAATATGAAAATCTCGATGTTTCTGGTAAAGATTTTGTGCAAATAAGGTTCCCTAAGAAAAATTTGGGGAATAAAAGTGACCTTCAATGAGACGTTAGTTCCACTTAATTTGAGCCTAGTATATTGTTAGATCAGGATTAGGAAGCATTAGAAAAACAAAGAAATTGTTAGGTCTTGTTCGCATTTCCAGACTTTTAACCCATGCTGTACTTCCATCACATCTCCTTTTTCAGTGGCAAATTTGAGTCCTCTCTGTATTTTCCTAGAATGAGGTGGAGGAGGAGATGGGAAATGCTTTGTATGTGTAAAACTCAATGGTTATTTAGACAAATTGTTTCACAAGTCCCAACAACAGCAAAGACTGCAAGGACATGTGGACTTTTGTTTTCTTTACTTTTTTTTCAGAAGTAAAACTTGTGTTCTGATCACTCAGTCCTCATACGCTTACTGAGAAATGCTCATCTTAGATTACTAGGAGTTCCTTTTTATTCAAGCATAAAAAGCATGGGATGTGGCATCTAGCCCACATGCCTGTGCTGGTGAAAGCTAGTATGTATATGTATATTGCTTGACAAAACTGGGTTTAAATACTGGGCTGATATACTTTGGGCTTGCTCTAGTTTTAGAAGTGTTACTGGAATAGGTGCATGACAAACATTGCCCACCCTACCTCTTAATGGATGTAGCCGTACCAGTAAATGCATTAGTGCAAACTTGTTATATCAATGAGAAAGTCTTTTGCTGTCATTTCTTTCATTCAGCGATTCAATATAAGCTGTATCAGCTTAGAGTTTTATTTACCAAAGAGGTTTACCCATGTAGCTGTACCAGCAGATCCTTTTAAGTTCAGGCAAGCCCTTTTTTGCTTGCGGGGTAGGAGGTGGCAAATGAGAAGGAGAATTAGGTTTTTGGCAGGCTTGGCAGTGCTGAGATGGCTGAAGATTTGTCTGTCACAGTTC